GTCGACGGTAGGAGAATCGTCAGTCTCTCCTCTCCTTGCCACTTTTGTTCTGGCTTTCTCCCACAAGTGGGTTGGTTGGGCTATTAATCTGGCCGGTTGGATTGTCGGGTTAAGTAGGTTGATTAGCCATTTTTTTATTATTATTTACACTGACGTGTCATGCTGACGCGGCGATCTGGGACGGAGTTTTGGACGGAATTGGACGGATTTACTAATTTGTTATTCGCTCAAACCTATGTTACCGAAACGTGCAAAATTAAAAAAAATTGTAACCGTTTTGTACAAAGTGAATAGGTTTGTGACCATTTATGATAACTACCCGGGGATTAATAGAAGCAACATCTTTTCATAAGTAAATCAAAAGAATGTATTATTAAGGAAAATAATAGGGTACAAAATCAGAACTACTAAACCTACAAAACTCTGTAACTAATCATCCCTTATATTAATCATATCTACGATCATATCATGACAAGGTGAAGGTATGATTCATATAACAAATGGTAAAGCGTGGATTTTATCTGAATTTTGGACCGGTTTAATTAACAATATATTGCTTTGTCCCCCTTTTGTTTTTGTTCTGTACGGAAGAATGATTTGTTTGTATTTGGCCCAAATAACGGACTTTGTTCTCTGCAACGTTTAGGATAGGCATAGGCATTTCCGTGGGAGAAAAGAGAGAAATTCTGGCTCACCAATCCATCCATGTTTCTTTCTGTGGGCGTCACTGCCAAGTGATGCGCCTTTGTCCACCCTCGTCCTCGTGTATCATTTTTCCAATGATATTTCTGAGTAATCAATAGAAATTGACACAACATTCATATATATTTTTTTTCTCCACCTAAAGTTTATCAACTATTTATATAGGTAAGATTTTTTTTTTTTTTTTGACAAAAGATAATCTTATATTGATTCAAAAGATAGACAATTACACCCTGGAATTCAGCCAGGTCTGAAAATCAAAGGAACAGCTACTGGTTGGGTACAAAGAAAGGGCTTTTCTAGCCACCATATGGGCTACCCTATTACTACGCCGACCTACGAACCGAACACTATAATCTGCCTGGGCCTGGAGACAACTATAAACCTCTTGAAGAACAACACCCATCCTATTATCGCCAAGGTCCCCCCGATTGAGCTTATCAATAATGACTTTGGCATCGCCTTCAAACCTCACCTCAGTAAGGCCTAACCCGCGACACCAAAGCACCGCCTCCCTAAGCACCAACAGCTCCACAACCATTGGATCATCAATAACTGGGAACTGCACACCCGCAGCCACACTAACCCCCCCAGTAGGATATACAAGAACCATTCCCCCCGCCGAATGAGACCCCCTCCTAGTGGCCCCGTCCCACCGACAGATCATACGCGGGTCATCATCAACAGTCAGTAAATTGGGGCTAGCGGAAGGGACTTGCACCATGGGGCGGGCAGGCAACCGCATCCATTCCTCATATTGCTGAGTGAACTGGCGCATCAACACATGGACCCCAAATTGTTTCCCTTCAAATACCACCCAGTTACGAGACCGCCAGATCCGCCAGAGGATGGCAACTACCGCCATAAACATAGATGGCTGATTGATCAATCCCAAGAGCTTTTTAAGGAACAAAGGAAAATTTTGACGAGGCAATCCCTCACCCAGATAATTCAACCCTGCGTAATCCCAGAGGGCCCGAGCCACTGGGCAATAAAGGAACAGATGTTCCAAAGATTCTGAACTATCCCAGCAAACCGGACAACGGGGGTGAACCGGAACTTTACGTTCAATGAGGGCCTCAGTAGTTGGTAGGGCCAGGGAGAGGATCTGCCAGACAAACACCTTCAGTTTCGGGGGAATATTAGCCTCCCAGAGACGAATCCAACTTGTTTTATCCATCCAACTGACAGAAGATTTCCAACCACCCCGCCTTTTATCAAGAGTAACAGCCAGATGATAGGCCGATTTGACCGAAAATAATCCATCCGCTGACTCATGCCAGATCAACTTGTCCTCCATATGCAGCCGTGGAAGAGGAATAGTTTTAATGGCTCGACACGTAGGAGGATCAAACCAGTGAGCAAGTTTGTGGTCACACCACCGACCTTCCCCCAGGCAAATAACGTCAGCTACTAATGGGTCTCCCCCTTCAGGTAAGATGCAGGGGTTATACTGCAGGGGATCCAGTTGGAATTTAACAGAGAAACCGACTGGCCATTACCGATTTGCCATCGCAATCCCTTTTCCAATAACTGGCGCCCAAAGAGGATACTCTGCCATCCCCAGGAAGGCCGTGATCGGGCAGTAGCACCAAGAAAGGTCCCAGTGGGGAAGTATTTCCCTTTGTACACTTGAGCCAGAAGGGACTGGGGATCAGTAAGGATACGCCATCCGATTTTGGCTAACAGAGCCTGATTAAACTGCTCAAATCGACGAAATCTCATTCCCCCATCATGCTTGCTTCTGCACATATGACGCCAGGAGACCCAGCGAATCTTAGAATGTCCGTCAGCCGCCCCCCACCAGAATCGAGCCACATGCTTATCTAGGAGGCGACACAGAGACAATGGCAATCTGAAGCAAGACATGATATGCAAGGGTAAAGCCAAAGCAACAGACTTGATGAGGGTCTCCTTGGCAGCCCAGGATAACGTCTTCTGCTTCCAACCTTGTAGCTTTTCTAATAACTTCTCTTCCAAGTATCGGAATGTAGCCATTTTTGATCGAGCAAAGAGTGTGGGAAGTCCTAGGTATTTATCATGGACGCCCACTGCACCAACCCCCAGAATTGTAGCCATGAAGTCCTGATCAGGCAGCGCAATGTTTTTGCTAAAGCAGACTGCTGATTTTGCCAGGTTTACTCGTTGACCGCTTAATTCCTCATACTCATTTAAGACCACAATCAGATTCTCACATTCCTGAAGGGTGCCCCTTAGAAATAAATAAGAATCATCCGCGAAGAATAAATGAGAGATTCTAGGGGCACGAGGAGCCACTTTAACTCCTTGAAGCTTCTCTTCCGTAATTGCCTTTCTCAAAAGAGCCGTAAACCCTTCCGTGCATATAACAAACAACAGTGGGGACAGAAGATCCCCCTGCCTTAGCCCCCTAGACGGTTTAAAATAACCAGAAGGGGTTCCATTCATGAGCACAGAGAAAGAGGATGAGCGGAGGCACTCAAGAATCCACCCTTGCCAAACAGAGTTAAAGCCCATCTTATTCATCACTGCGAGGAGAAAGGGCCATTCGACTCTATCATAGGCCTTTTCCATGTCAACCTTTAGAGCCATGTACCCTTTCTTGCCTCGAGTTTTGATTTTTAAGTAATGCATCAACTCATGTCCCAGGAGGATATTATCAATTATCTGACGATCACGGATAAAACCATTTTGTCCCTCAGAAATGATATGGGGAAGGATGGTCGCCAGCCTTTCAGCCATGATCTTTGTTATAATTTTGTAAACAAATTGGCACAGACTGATCGGGCGTAGTTGTCGCATAGTCTCCACATTATCCACTTTGGGAATTAAGGTCAGCCAAGCGTGATTGAAACTTTTGAGCATTCGGCTTGTCTCAAAGAAAGAAACGACTGCTGCAATCACCGAATCCCCAACAACATCCCAAAAAGCCTTAAAAAATTTCCCGGTAAACCCATCAGACCCCGGAGCTTATTTAGACCCCATGGAAAACACCGTTTTCCGGATTTCACTGGGTAAGACCTCAGCCGTCAAATCAGCGTTCATTTCAGGAGTAACACTGTGTGAAATGGGGAGATTGGCGATTCGCTCCTCCATATTAGGTGATTGATGATCAGAAGTGAAGAGCGATTGGTAAAAATCCGTGGCAATGGCTGCTTTGGCCGGCTCCTCAGTTACCCAGTCACCAGTATCACTACGGAGACCCGCAACAAAATTCCGCTTTCTCCTAGCACGCGTAACCGTATGGAAATAGGAGGAATTTTGATCTCCCTTCTTCAGCCACCGGACCCTGGACTTTTGTTGCCAATATATTTCTTCTGCCTCCCATTGACGATTAAGCTCAATCTCAAGAGTTCTAACCTCATTCCAATCAATTGGATGAGTCAACTTAACCCGCTCAATCTCCGCCTGGAGAGTTTTGATATTCCGAAGGGAATTTGTAGTGCCTGCCCTACTCCAATCATATAGGAGGTGACGAAGTCGTTTGAGTCGCTCCCATAGTCGAAACATGGGAGTCCCTTGGACTTCCTCCTGCCAAACATAATTAACCATAGCCCGTACTTCAGGATTATCAGCCCAACGGGCATCAAATCGAAAAAGGGGCCGGCTATTTCTGGTATAGGCCTTGTCTGAAAGGAGGAGGGCACGATGGTCCGAACCCTGGTCCGTGAAGTGCTTTACCAAGGTATCCGGGAATAGATCAATCCAAGTATGGGAGCAAAGAGCACGATCCAAGCGTTCCCGAATACAGGCAGCCCCCATCCGTCTATTTGTCCAAGTGAATTGGTCACCTTGAAACCCCGGGTCATGGAGACCAAGGTTATGGACAAAGTCGCGCAGACTACTAGAATGGACAGCATTCCAAGGAAGACCACCATCCTTCTCACTCTCAAGAAGAGTAGTGTTGAAATCTCCAATGACAGTGTACGGGAGGTGAATGTTCTCACAAATCTCTTGTAACTGGGCCAATTGAGAGCCACGAAGAGCAAAATTACAACTAATGTAAACGGAAACCACCACATAAGAGAAATCCACTTCATTAACTTGCGTGCAAATACAAAAATTTGAATGGAAAAACACCGAAGCATCAACTTCGGGGGACCAAGCAACAACTAAACCTCCAGATGCCTCAAACGCATCAACAAAGAAACAACAAGAAGAATCAAAACCTAACCCCCGCATACGACGGGTAACTACACGCCGGCTCGATCGCGTCTCCGAGAAGAACACGAGATCCGGTTTATTGGAACGAACTAGCCCTATAGCTGTTTGGAATGTAAGGGATGGCCCAATTCCTCTCACATTCCAGGCCAGAAGCCTCATTTATCCGGCTGGGGCCATTCGAGGCTGGCTTCCTCCACCTTCTCTAGCTCATCCGTTTCTTCCACAAATTGTTTCTTTGGAATGGGAGGCTCAGTATTGGCACCGTCAACAGATTCCAAGGAGCGTTTAACTCCCCCAATGGCAGCATTACCCATGTTGGAACCATACACATTCAGGCCAAACTGACCATCCTCATTGACACCCAAGTCTTGTTGCTTGTTCGCTTCCATTGATCGGGCCCTGCGCACCCATTTCTTAGAGGGGGATTCATTCACGATTAACCCACTCTCAAAGGCCTGGATCACCTTTTGCACTCGGCCAGGTTGGTTATCCTCCGAGGGAAGACGGCCGTCATGCCCACGACGTTTGATCTCGAAAGATAGGTGATCTTCTTCAGAGAGGGTCTCATCGGAATCCTCTAGCATGGACACATCAGGGAGAGGACCCACCGGAACAGTCTTCCTCTGTGTAGAGGTATCCATCGACACCTCCAAAGTAGCACCCACCTCGTCATGCACCCTAGGCTCAGGGGCGACACCCTTCGAGAGGTTGCGGACACGCCGCGGCCGAGCTGTAGCTGCAGCCAGGGATGGGCAGGGACCTTGCTCCGCCGCCCTATCCACCAGTATGTCTCCTCGCAAAACCCAGCTACCCTGCCCCTTTGATTTTTTCCCATTCTGTTTCGAAGCGCGAGACCCCGGTTTAGGCAGAGCCAAGTTATTCTTCAAGGGAACCTCCTGAACCACGAACTCATCTTCGGACTCATCCTCGAGGATAATACGCCGACGTCTTGACACTTCCAGACTTTGGCTACGGGTCGGTGGAGCAGGGGGTCGGAGAGGCTGGCCGAGAAAGCCTTGTACCCTCCCTCGATTTTTCAACGCAACTATCGGCCAGGACTGTTTGTTTAAGAGAACTCTTCCTGCGTCTTCCTCTATTCTCCGTCCCTGGTGGGCGGGTCCCAACCGGACGAGAGACATGATTCGCCGATAGCGGCTGTCTACGACCCTGATTTCGTAGCTGAATTTTCGGGCCTTTGGCAACTGGGAATCGGTGCGGGCTACGTCCCTGGCGCAGCACAGGAGGCTCAGTCTCCATAAACGGATTTGTGGAAGAGCCCATCCATAGTGGGCTGTCACCAATCAGTGGCTTCTTTTCCGCTTCCCTCTCCCTCCGCCCTTCATCTTCCCGGTCACGAGCAGGGTGTTGAGTACTCCCCTTATTTGGCCGAGTCTCTTGATTAACCCAGACTGATCTCTTCGGGTATTGAGGCAACTGGTCCTCTTCCTCAAAGAGCTTGTGGCCCATCTTTTTAGTTGACATTTGCGGCCCGAACCTCTCTTTGCCGGCGGGTGGGGGGAACGTGCACATTTGGCGGGAATGACCCACCCTCCCACAATGATAGCAGAAACTCGGTAAATATTCATACTTTAGACGAATCCAAAAACCCCCGGTCTCGTCATTAGTCGCCATAATCTGGGACCTAAGGGGTTTGGAAAAATCCAGCAAGACTTTCACCTTGATGAAACGCTGATCAGCTTCCGAGCATGAAAACAGTCCCACCTCCAACACTCGTCCGAGCATGGCACCCGCGACTTTGCGCCCAAACTGATGGGTGCAGCACTCCGGTTGGATCTCCCACAGCTGCACACGGAAGGGTACGAGAGCAAGCTCGTCAAAAGTTCGTCGACTTGCAGCCGAGATCCAGGGACGGAGATGTAGAATTTTATCACCAAGGATCCACGGCGATTGCTTGAGAACCCAAGTCTTCGCCGTCTTAGTCGGTAGAATGAACTCAAAGAGTCCATGTGCAGCTGCTCTCACTCTAATCCGTCCACGTCCCTGCCAAGGATTGTTCACCAGTTCACGCACCTCAAGGGGAGAGAAGTTTTGGTCTGTGAAAAGGCGACCAAGCAGGGAACAGTCATGTCGCACTTTCTCCGACTGAACCTCCTCCATTGAGAATTCCACAATCTGATCCTTTGCGATCCGAGACATGGTGTCAAGCTGCAAAGATAGTGGGTTTTGTGTATTAGTCGACGCAGAGCAGCAGCAGGGGGAAAACAACCCTGACCAAGGGAAACGGGCTAGTGAACAGGAAACTTTGAGAGCTAGGATTGAGTTTTCCCAAAGTAAAATGGTCACAAGAGCACAATTAATTTCCAACGTACCAACGTCATGATCGTGAGCTCGAGGGGTATCGCGCCTTCTTGCTGCCACTAGCCGAGAATGAAGAGAGCAAATGATAGATGATTTGCCTCGGCTAGGGCTATTTTTTATAAGGCTGGCACAGCGCAAGGAGTCCTTAGCAGTCAAGAATCCTAGTCTGTTTCATCAATGCAGTAACCAGTCACTTATTATGTGATTCGTGTGTAATCAAAAGATAAATTCACATATTTGTGTCAACACGCTCTTGCTACAGCTAGTACTATTACATTTTTTTTTGTTGAATTAGACTAAGATAGTTATCTTTACTGTCCCAAATTTGTATGCGTACATAAGTCATTGAATTAAATTTCAGCTAATCGCTAACGCTAAATATATTCAACAATATTTTTATAGATAATTATCTCCGTGTACTACTTAAATAAGACACTAAATCTAAGAAGTACATGCATGGACATTAAAAAAAAAAACTCATCTTTGCCTACCAATACTATCCAAATTCCAAACCGTGGCACCAAACCAAATCATATCTCTATATGGTGTGGAACACCCCAATCTCGATCCTGAAAATCTTTTTCATCATTTTTGTGTTCTTTTATGGCGTCATAATGCTTTCTTCCAATTGGTATCAAAATATGCCAGGAAGGAAGGAAGCATTATGCGGTCAAAGAGTGGACGTCCGTCTGTCCAGCTGCCGTTGGGGAAAAGCCGAGTGGGCCCCTGCAGGCCAAAAAGTGGAAAGGAAAGGCACATGTGGGCCGGAGTTGTTAGTGGGCCCGCGGTGACCCAAATCCGTGGGCGCGGCCGCATGGATCATAAAGCGATTAATAAGAGCTCCGGATATTCCGCAAATAATTAACTAATAAATCTAAACCCCAGAAATAAATAAATAAATAATAGAAAACAGAAAATGAGAAAGGAGAGGAAATTAGGTATCCACATATATCATCCTTATAAGCAAGGCAAGGAACTGAGTGATGTCAGTCCAGCTCAACTTCCTTATCCTCTTCTTCTTCTACTTCTATCTATGTCTAGGGTTATCTTGGAGATTATTGCTAGTCTTTGAATTAGACCTCCACAGCCATGCATTACCAGAAGGGAGGATGATCGATTTGTTCAAAACTAATATTTTCTGATAGAGGTTAAGGGTGAAGATGGGACCATCATTAGGGTTTGAATTGATGATAGTCTTGTATAGGATGCTCTCGAACCGGTTCGATATTTGGGATTCAATGTGTAACGTCCTGAATCTTTAATGTTTTTTATTTATTTTATAATTTCAAGAAACAAAAGGAAATGATGACGAGAAATCAAAGCAAGAGTGGAAGATAATTTGGATTTCAATTTTCTTGCCCATTGGGCCATGAGCCTCTCTCCTCTCCTTTTTTTTTTTCTAACGGAATCCCCTTTCTTAACCCACAAGTAATATTAATAGCTCCTACACAAGACTAATATGAAATCATATTCCAACATAAACTAATAGTACAATTAATATGACCTAAATTGTCCAAAATAACAAAGAAAGTGATAATGATTCACGAGCTCAAACTTTTGATTAATCACATCAACACATATACGTAAAAGAATGTAATCCCACGATAAATTTGATTTGCTAACAGCTAACCACATATCAAGCTCATATCTGTAGTTATCGAAACGATCCATTAGTTGTTGTCTTCTTGAGTTGGGAGTGATCGACTTGCTCATCTTCAAGTAGTGAATAACCCGACTCATCTAAATCAAGATGCTGCATTATTGACAGCAGTGATGCTGCCATGGTGGTCTTCCTTATTGACTCTTTGTTTAAACTAGGGCAATAAGCAATAGTATGAATTTGGGATGTGCATCAACTTATCTCTCTTCTTATTTCATGCAAGATTACACAATTTGTTATCGATAAACCCTAATCACTTCCTTTTTACTTAATAAATCACACAAAGAGTTGAAACGAAGGCATATTTGGAATGATGCTGTCTCTTTGATGGATAGTTAAATTGCTCTGTTTTACCATTTGGGGGAATGTTTTGGCAAGCTGGTGATTGAACCCAATTAGAGATAAGTATGCTAGCCACTAGCCAGCTAAGCTTTTTTGGTTGTCATTAATATTCTCCATTTATCTTTTTAGTTTTAGCCCTAACGTACAACTGTGCAAGTTTATTCTTCTCTACTACTGCTACTTCAACCGGCAGATTGCACAAAAGAAGAGTCGTAGATGCACTTTTCTTGTTCAAAATAAAGTTCGATCAATTGATTAGGTGACCTCATATGTGTCCTACATTGTCTATCCACAAGTTCAACTTTGAAGGGAATATATACCTTTGTCAAGCTAAAGTAACAGATTTTGAACATTGCAGAAATTTGAATAGCGTTGACTCGTCTATTATCATTAATCACTCATTTATTATCGACACACTTGTCAACAAGATACTAGAATGAAAATTGAGTAATTGTACGAGGAGCTAGCGAATCTGTATTAAGAATTGGATATCCTATGTTCGTTTCGCTTCGTTACAAGGGGAAGCTTGTCGATAATTATATTATGTCTCGCTAGGGTATAGATCTTGACCTCCAATCCAAGAAAATCTTACTGTGTTTCTTGACCCTAATTTTGGAGAAGGTTGACCATCTTAACCGGACACAAGCATAGATCGTAGAGTTGTACATAACTCGAGATTTGGGACGACCTCTTATTCAAGAATACTTCTCGTTGATCTCAGACTCATTGCACAAGTAGGAGACATTAAGTCGAGTTTATTTTCAACGAATTCTTAACTATTGTGTTCAGACAGGATAATTAAGGTGTGATTCGAATAGGGATGACAATGGATCAGATGGAGGGCGAATAGTGAATAATCGTTACCTTGCTCAAAATCGTTCGGATTCTACCCATATCCATACCCACATAAGAATCGGGTAGAAAATCAAAACCATGTCCATAGACTTTCGGGTTTCGAGTATATCCACGGTCATCCATGGATAATGATTTCTCTTTATAACTTCAACCAACATGTTAAGTTCTAGACAAAATACATATACATGTTTATATGGTTGATTCATGTTGGATAGTGAAAAAATCATGTTCACGTATTCCCTGCTATATTCATATTCATATTTTACCCATACCCACTAAAACTTATTCATATTCAAGTTTTACTCTATCGAAATAGGTCAAATTCGAATAGATGTCCACAACTAAAAATATTCTTGCCATCCATATATTTAAACATTACAAACCCAAAAACCCAATTAAGGCAATAAGCATAAATGATAATTACTAAGAAGTTTAGTATTTCGGTTATCCAACAAGTAAATGACCCTTTTTTTTTACTTGCATTAGCAAAAAAGATAGACAAGAAATCAAAGGAAGTAAATGTCATTACTTTAGGAGGCAAAGGATAGGGACCGTTTCTTTCTTCTCCCTTTTTCTTTTGCAGTTAACAAGAAAAGGTGGTGGTGGTGGTGACTAGGATTTTGGATATGCCTTCCCATTATAATACACTACTCCACGATCTTATCCTCATCTCTCTTCCTTCTCCTTCCTAGTAATATAGGAGCCCAACACCCACGAAATTAATTAATCCAAATAATATTAATAATAAATAACAGAAAGAAAAATTAAAAATTAAAAAGAATCCCCAGCCAGCCCAGCCATACACTCCCACAAAGAAGATGACGATGACAAATCACAACATCACATAAGATAAACATTTATAATTTTCTCAAATTTTATTATAAATTTGTCAATTCCATGACATATAAATAAAAAGCATTATCCTTTGCTCCCAACCCACAAATATATTTTTTCTTTATGTATGTATGTGTGTATGCTCTCCAGGTGCGTTCTTTCAAGCCTCTAATCACACCCTTCTAATTCTCTCTTTCCAATACAAAGGATATTTCCTCTGTTTTTCTTCTTTCCTTCTTCCATTTGGTTCCATTCGATCATCCAGAAGAAAGAGATTATGGGGGAAGTTGCAGGAAATAGCCATGGTGATCAACAACATGTGATGGTGATGGGCGGGTTGAGGTTGACGAAGGAGAAGAAGAGATGGGCAATGGAGGAAGACAAATTCTTCGAATCAAGATCTGCTGTTCATGGTGGTAATAAGAAGGAAGAACAGCCAACTTCGTCACAATCGTCAATTGGTTCGCCTTCTCTCGACACGTCGTCGTCTTGCTTCTCTGATGACGACGACGATGAGGCATCATCTTCTTCTTGTTCTCCGACGGGTTCGGCTTCGTCTTCCAATTCCTCGTCTTCCTCCACATTGGCTGCCAAGAACAGCGTGATGAATGAGAATGACGATGATGATAATAACCGCAGCCCTCTTTACGAGCTGTCCGAGCTCATGTCCCAGCTCCCCATCAAGTAAGCAACAAACACCAGCAAATTTTTCCTCAAAAGGTTGAAGCTTTTTTGTCATTTCTCTAATGGGTTTCTCTGTTCTGTTCTGTTCTTCTTCTGTTCTTCTTCTGTTAACAGAAGGGGGCTGTCGAGATTCTACGACGGGAAATCGCAGTCGTTCACGTCGCTGGGGAGCGTGCAGAGCTTGGAGGATCTGGTGAAAAGGGTGCCTTCAGGGAGGATTCTGAAGATGAAGTCGAAATGCAAGAGCTTCTGCTGGGGTTTGGAGAGGCAGAAAAAGCATTGTTATGGTCCGAAGCCGGCCATTTCGAAAAAGGGTGGTGGCTCAAGTTCCAGAGCTTCCTGTTTCTCTTCTCTCGCCAAAACTCCTTCTTCGCCCGCTGTACAGCATCAAGCCACCTACTTGCTGTGAAAAGAGTGTGAAATCCGACCAACCCATGTTCAGGTTTCAATTTTGGCGAATTGGGTCTTCGTTATATTGCCTGTTTAGCCCCAAAGGTACTGGCTTTATGGCAAAGCACCGGTAGTAGTGATTTGAGTTTTATCATGTCTATATGATTCATTGGGTCTCTAACTAGGAGGGTAAGAAGAACCCAGGAAACTAAAAAAAAAAAAGTGATCGATTGTTTGATTACTTACTAGCTTACTTACTGACCTCTGACACAGAGAGATATATGCTATGCTATGCTATGCTATGTTATGGTTTCAACAGAAGTGCAATTTTGATTTTGTTCATTGATTTATGAAAAGGGTTCGTTTTGTTTCTTTTCCTGATTATCATCCTTGTTCTTGTTTAGGGGGATTTGTTTCCTCGTGGAGTCTCAAATCCTCTCGTTGAATTTGACTCCTAATATAACGAGAATTCAACTGCCTCCTCCTACTCTTACTACTACTCGTTGCAACGGAAGAAAGAGTGAAAAAAATGGAAAACCACCGACGATTTGGATCTTTATCAATTAATGAGGTTTTTGTTCAACAACCATGAACGAGGATTGGGGAAGTGGGAATCCAATCCATGGCCTGCCAAAAGTGTTGCTCTGTCTTGATCCTTGTTTGTCAACATAATAAGCCTACCGTTCTATATTTTCTTCTCTTTCATACTAAGGGGAAAGGAAAAGAAAAGAAAAGAAAAGAAAAGAGAGAGAGAAGGGAACCATTGTTTGTCGGCAAGGGAGACACTCTAACCGCCATGAATGAAATCGGCCATTAGGTATAATCAGTTATCATCTCATCTAGAAGCAGAAACGGCTTTGGAGCACATTTATAGAACGAATTGATAAATGAAACTTATATTGGTTGAAACGTAGTTTTCGACAGTGGAAGTCATCAACTTGTGAATAGTATGGCAGAGGTTTGTGCTCAAGGCGTAAGATTCAGTATTATCGGACGTATATTAACTACATGTAGCTCCATTACCGAGGTCAAGATCAGTGCGGTTCGATTGGCTATAGTTTTACACCACAAAATTTAGTCTCACGCGTTCGAGTTTCGATGGAGTCTGCTAACACCATGGCCAACTTTCAAGATTTGATGATAGTTGAAGTGTAACGCGAACACAACAGAAAGAAACAGAACAGCTATGAACACTTTCGTTTATCGATACCATGGAGAATATCTGGTCGGTATCATCGTCAAACCCCTATTTAATACATTTTCTCATCTCATAAACCTCCTCTATTATCTCCCAATGGCGAAATAGGGAGGCGGTCGAGGACTAAAATTTTATATCTTGTAGACAGGAGTAATTCCTAGAAGGAAGAAGCATTTCCTCATCACCATTGCTGTTGCTTCACACAGCAACAACCTGCTTGTTTCCTCCGCCGACCCAATCACCTGTTCCGTCGAAAGAAGAAAAAAACGTTTCAGGTTATTCTACTAGGAACAATCGCTTTTGTTGAGCAGCGATATCGCTGAAGCCTAGTTTAGTGGAGCATTTTTTTCACCTGACAGTTGGAGTAGAATTTGCTGAAGTTTTCAGACAAGTTGTAGAGGTATTCACAAAGGATGTTCGGCAGTAGGTTGGTACATGCCTCTTCCACAATCTGAATCAGAAGTCACGATTACATAAAACCATTCTCAAATTCGGTAATGATGGCACAGAAAGTAGATTAGTCCACTGAAAAGAAATATCACTCCACCCCACATTACCTCAGAAAATCGAAGTAGATGAAGCCCCAGAACACGCTCATCCTGATGCTCCAACGACAAAACTCCAGTCTGTTTAACCAAACAGAAACATAAATATGAGTTCTTAAAGCTGTAAGTAGCCCCAAAATTTTTAAATGTAGGCTTAGTAACATCACAACCCGTTTAAAGTTCACAGCGCAAAATGGATTACTAGGGGAGGAGGCAACTGCTTACTTGCTTCAACTCCTCAACATCTTTGCCGGACTTTCTGATGATGGAACAGATCCTAGCATGTGCATAGAGCAAATAAACAGCCGTGTTTCCCTGCCCCACGACATTAGACAAGTAACAAAATTAGCATAAGCAATGACAAACAATTCAAATCAATATACATGACAATGTCTCCATTTGATCCTTGACTAGAAGCCTATGAGACACTCCGAAGAAGAGATGGTCCACACCTTATCACTAAGCATTTGGTCGAAATTGAAAGTATAATTAGTCAACCGATTGTTCTTCAAGTCCGCATACCTGCAACCACAAAATTCACAATTACGTTATTGACAGCAATATTCACTAGAATCAATACAAGTCATGGCCAAACCAGAGGTAAGTCCTTATAACTCCAGATGTAATTCTGACAAAGAATTTCATAAGTAAAGCTATAAATTGCCAGAACAACTGATGGTAGCACATTGATTCTTACTTCACAGCGCCATAACCAACTGCTTCAGCAGTTTGGTCAATCTCCTCCTCTGTCCAATCTTTATCTTTTTCTGTTGAAAGCAAACGATCAAATTAAGCCAAGTAGTACGAATATGAACTCTGGCACTCAAACATGAGATATGCAAAATAGATATAAATAATGGTTCAAAATGTATATGCATGAGAAAAACTATATCCAAGTTATCATACCACGCTCTTCAAGCACTGCTTTACTTCGACTCTTGGCTTCATCCAGCAAATCAACTAACCGAACCACTTCTGTAGATCGAGTTCTGAATCGTTTGCCATCTTCTCCAAGAACAAGCCCAAAACCAACATGACTAGTTCTAGGAAACTTATTTGCCTCAGTAGGGAGCCAACCCGCAATTTTAGCAGCCTAAATTGTAAATTGTTAATGTGAAGAAATATCTCATAGATTTGAAACATCATTTTTTCTTTCTTCTTCCAAATGTGTCAAAAGGAGAAAGTGTGGGAAAAAAAATGCATATCCACATTAAAGGAATTGAACTTACCTTGAATACCATCTCAAAGTGCTGCTGCTGACCCACATCAGTAACGTAGATAATCCATTCAGCTTTCTCTTCATTAAGGCGATACCTATATATACCAAGTAGTGGTGCCTATAAGGTTAAGAACGTCGACTAAGATATATACACTTTAGTACTAGAGAATTGAACTAACCAAAGTGCAGTCAGATCGGTTGAAGCATAGTTGTAACCACCATCGCTCTTAACAACAATAAGAGGAATATTGAATCCTTCGAGAAAAATTACACGGGCACCCTCACTTTCTTCAACCAACCCTTGATTGGTCAGACCCTCTATAACTGAAGGTATGAAGGGATTGTAGAAGCTTTCACCCTGCAGACAAAAAAGCACAAACAGCTTTTCAGTTTCTAAAATTAATGCTTTATGGACACAAAGATGTAGCATAGAATGAAGCATCAAAATGAGAAAGAATTCAATCCAAGACCTCAACCACTTGCGTGCACAACATAATCAAAACTTAGTTCCTTATGGGGAGAATCCTCCACGGCTACATAGAATCACTTGAGCTACTTAGTCCTCTAGACCTATTTCAGTAACAATCTTATCATGCGATATTGATATAAATCTCAACAGAATGACTGGACTGCAGATCCAAGGATTCAAGACAAACTGAATAAAGCTTAATGAGACAGGTAAACAAAGGTTATCGCTATATGACATATAGTCCAACAGAGATTTTATACATAACAAGAACAGGTGACAACTTCTCACCTGCCCTTAAAAGTGCTAGATAAAATTCTAGTAGAATAATTTTTCCCCACACAACACAGAACCATTTATAGAAAGCCCCAAAAAAGAAAGTACCTTTTCCTCTAGCTCAACTTTGAGTCTTTTGTAGACACTGTCGAACTCCCTCCTACTGATTGCACAGATCTGAGCCCAAGCATCTCTGTACCTCTTTTCACCACCCTGCATTTGAAAGAATAACAAATCTAACAGATGTCCACATCTGTTCTGATACTAATTCATGATAGTACTTCACAAAAGAACAAGAATGCAAATAGCTCAAAGGGGAAAATTAACCTGGAGGCGAACAACTGCTTTCTGTGCCCGCTCTTTAAATTCAGAATCATCATCAAACCTCTGTTTTGATGCCTTATAGAATGCCTAAAATTATAAAAGAAATCAGATTCTATTAATTAACTCAGAAATTTAATTCCATCTTGTTTTCTATAAATAACCTCTCCCTCTAATACAAAGAAACACAGTGCTGTTTAATATGAAATGGCCAGATGGAAATAAATCCATAACCATGTTGCGGACAGTAAAAGCAAAGGAATAGAGTAGGGAAGCATGCCACAACACCTGTAGGTCTCCAATTGCTGTTTCATTAACTGCCTCAATGTTAGGAAACTTCTCGAAGAGGTGTTCTATCAACATGCCAAACTGCAAATAAAGAACACACAATTAGAGAAATTCTTAACACGAGACAAGAAAGATGCACATGGAAGCCTAAATTTCAGGTGCTATAGATATAAAAAGATGGAAATTTTGCATAACAGCATAAAAATGGTTTCTCGAGTTATTTTGTGTAAGTAGAAATTATCTTTAAGAGACCAAGTAAAATTATCTCAAACGCAAAATGTAATAACTTGAAGAAAGCACATTGGGCAGACACGGTGATTGTGCCTAGTTATTGAAACCTAGATAACAGTTATTTATGACAAATAGTAATGACACCTAGTCAGTGCCAGAAACAGAACAACAGATGAAACATATCATACTTTTTACATCCTTTCATGAATAACACACAAATTATGCATGATCAAATAAAAGCTGCAATGCGAGGAATCGAGCATGGAGTTAAGTTATCTTTGGAACGGGGGTAAACCTAAACCACATATCTCACACCACAAACTAACGGTAATTAATATACGAGTAAACTGAAGATACCTGGGTTCCCCAGTCACCAACATGGTTTCGCCTAAGAACATCAACGTGTGAGAACTCAAGCATGCGGGCAATTGTGTCTCCAATAATTGTAGATCGCAAGTGACCGACATGCATTTCTTTGGCAATATTTGGCGATGAAAAGTCAACCACTGCCCTCTTAATTGATAACTTAGGTGCCCAAGTATCAATCCCGTCGAGGAGCATTTTTAGGATGCTCTGCAACCACACCAAAATTTTCAGTAATGATACGTTACAAATTTAGCATAAACAGAAAGTACAAAATCAAGTCAGGTTAGGAAAGCACTAAACTCAAGTGCAGACATACCTTAGCCATCCACTTATTTGATAACACAACATTCACAAATCCAGGCCCAGCTACGGAGCATGATTCTATCATCTCTGTCTGAGGGAGATTTTTCATGATAGCCTGACCAAAGAAAGAAAATATAAATACACTTATACACCTACAACAGAAATTGTCCAAGCACTATCTCGCCAATAGAAGAGTAGACAAATAAGCTTGGCTCACACAAAGAAGTGTAACAAACAAAGAAACAGCTGATACCTGTCCAACTGCCGGGGGTCCCCTAAACTGACCACCTCCTTTTCCTTTAAGTTTAGAGAAAAGTCCCATTGCATTATTACTGAAAGAAAAGAAAGCCAAACCAGCTTACTATACTAAGCAACAGCGCCTGAATGAAGCACACACAAATTCAAGCTCAAATCTTACCACTGGTAGTCTCCAAATCTGCCCACCGTGCTTGCAGTAACTATGGGTTCCACATCGGTCTCGTCAGGGACCGTCGCTTGAAGCGACAATTCAAACACTCTCGCTAACAGTTTCTTCACATTACCAACATTCTCCTCATCCTGCCGAGCGCCATTCAAGTACACACCATATCAAACATAACTCCGCAAGGGCGGAAAAACAGTTCACACAGTTCCATGAAAATGCATTGAAAAAAAGTCCATGTCGAAACGAACTTACATTGGCCATGGTGGAAATCGATTCCGTCCTAGCAGAAAATGCAAGCGTCCTTGAAGTCACTCTCGACAGGCCTGCCTAGTTTCGCAATCAACAATACAACGAAAATGAACTTCCTCGAATTGCAACAGAAGCTCAACACAAACAGCTTCAACAAACTATTTCGAATTGATTGCAGTGAAAAAACGAGTGGATAACTAGACAGTGCAAGATGATAACGCGCAGAATCAAAAGGAAAGGGAACTAGAAGAAGAACCGGTGCAAGAGACAGAAGAATGAGAGAGATGATTTACGGGGGAGAGCTTACCGGCGGCGCTGAGAGGGGAAGAGCGGAGACGAGAGAGACGGCGGAAGGAGAGCAGCGAGGGCGAAGAGGCCGGCGGGAGGAGAAGAGCTAGGGAGGAGGAGGAGCATAACATTGCGTTTTGGGCCGTCTTTATTTAATAATAATAATAATGAGGGAAAATGGGAAAACCCTCGCTGACTCGGTTCTTCACACACTCGGCTTTGGGCTTTTGAGCTTTGACTCCCATACCGTTTTCTGTTTTACTAGGGTTGGTTTTAAAAGAGGATTGTGATGCAGGATTTTGTCCCAATATCTGACCATCTCGGATTTTGTCATAATGTTATGTTTGAAAAAAAATGAGAGATTTCCAACACCTGTAATTGTGGGATTTAAAAATAGTTAACTTTCTCGACTATTTTGAAATCCATCACCATTATTTTTTTCTTTAAATATAATCCCTCTTCTCTAAAATATAAGAAGCAGATTCAGAACCCAGAATTGCTGGGATTTGAATTTCCAGTGACGGGAGCAAATCTCGGAAGGACAGGTCGGTCATTTCCCTATTTAGTTGCTGGTATGCGTTTTAAAAAACGTATCTGCTGATGTTAGGCCAAATTAAATTAATAAGCCCAACCCAATTCTCAGTTGGAAAAGCCCAAGAAAAGTTGGCCCGTGGGGATTGGTTCTGTGGAAGGGGTCAGCTTATTCCATCCGAGACAACTCTTTCGTGCTTCCTTCTCTCGCCGCCGACCACCGCCCTAACCTAATTTCCTTCCCTATGGTGCTGCCGATCCCAATTTCGTCGCCATGGCCCTTATACAAAAACATGGCCCTCTTCCTTCTCCTCACTGAGTATAGAAAAATGCTGGCGAATAGGTCTCTTCTTCAGTTTGACTGCAGATGGATTCAATTCCTCATCCAGACCTGGAAACTCCCACTTTCGTGATGCGCCCATCCGATGAGGAGCTGACAAGTATCGGGTAGCTGGGGTGGCAGCTACCATCCGTCGTTCATGAATACCACCTGGGCCGGAGTCCACATTACCCGAGCCCCTTCACCTGCTGAGTGTACGAAGAATGGTGGCAGTTGCATTCCTCACCGTTATTCCATCTCCGACCCACGTCCCCGCAAAACCCGTCCCAAGGTACCGACTGCAACCCCCTTTCCCATTCCAAAGATGTTGCTGGTCGTGTTTAAGTGGACATTGTGTTCACTACATCAACTGTCATATACGTCATATATATGCCCCATGTCAGTAGAATCACTTCACATAGCAAATTGCATTCTTCAATTCTCCGTTCTTCAATTCTCCCAAGTCCATAGCCTTCGCATGCTTTTTTTTATTTGTGTATCAGCATTGGCAAGATAATCTAATTCTTTGGTACTCTAATTGTCTATCTCATGTACGTTGGTCTTTTGCAAGATGGAAGTCAACAAAATGCGAGACTTGGATTCGAAGAAGGAAAAACTATGGTCAGGGCATTGTCGTGTTTCTAGGTTATGGCTGGGAGTGAATGTCACGACGGACAAAGTACTCCATTTGGACTTGATCCTTCTGGATTCAAAGGTAATCATGTTTTGTACAGCAAACCAAACTCCATCGTTTAACCATGAAGTGGCCTGGTTCTAATTTTTGATTTATGACACCCAGGGCAATGACATATGGGTTCTTATTCCTCCGGTGCTGCAAAATAAGTTCAAGCAACTGCTGAAGCAACACAATGTTTACATAATCAAGGACTTTGATATCAAGGCAACCGGGTTGACACACCAGACGATTGCCAACCCATATGTAATGTCCTTTACTCGGAAGACGACTGTTCAACACATCCCTGACATCCCCTCTATTCCTACTTTCAAGTTCACTTTCATGAAAGCAAGTGATATGGCATCTAAGAAAGAGGAAACAGTCATCCTCTCAGGTTAATCCTTTACCCGATTCTGTTGTTGCCTTCACCACAGTCAGTTTTTTGCTGGTACTGACCTCTACATTGCAATTCATGTCACGGATTTATTTCGTAGATGTGGTTGGTGAATTAGTTCAACATTCAAACGTCATCAAAACAAGCAATATTACCTGGAGGACCATTCGAAAGGAGCTGCAAATGAAGCTAATTGAGTAAGTTTGTATTTATCTTTTTCATTTTCAATCTAGAGAACCACAGTAGCTAGACTAGACGTTGTCAAAGTGATTATGTGTGGACTTCTTTATTTCAACTGCCGCTGGGGGACATGTTCTCAGTATTCAGAATTCTGAATAGGCTTTCCATTCTTCAGTATTCAGTTTATCTTTTAGTTTTCATAACACACGGACTTCTGTATATCATGTGGCTCTAGGGGAGATGTTGTCAAAGTAACCATCCAGGGAAGAGTTATTGAACAGTTAGATAAGATAGTTAATGATGCTGGAGAGAGACAGATTATACTGGTTGTAACTGCTGTTACGGTGAATGAATTCAAAGGTAAATTTATTATTAGTTAGCTGCCATTGTGTCATATTCTATGATTGAACAAAAAAACCTAATGTTGTTTACATTTACGCAGAGGTACTATCATATTCTTCTTCTGGGTCCACAGTTCTGTATGATACTCCAGATATTCCTGCAGTAACTACTTTTACCACTAGGTATTTATATTTATTGGTGACTTAATACAAATATGGGCTCCTGGTATATTTTGCTACCTATTGATTTGATGTCCAAACATTTTCCAATATAGGAATGTGGAACCAGAACTCCCCATCTTTGTAGAACATGATGCAGATGATAAGTTTCCTGCTGTTTCCCTTGCGGAACTTCAGGAATTGCCGATGGACCCAGATAATGAGGTTAGCTCAATTTATTGCACTCTTTCTCAATGCATTGTTCTTGCCATTATTATCCACTGATTGAGTTGATAATTTAAAATTAGGAAATGGACTTTTCTGTTGAGTGCAAAGTCATCGGAATCAAGGCTGGATGGTGTTATATGGGCTGCCCTAGCTGTGTCTATAAGCCGATAGAAAGGCAGGGCCAATCTTTTTGTGTAAGATGTAACAAGAATACACCAGTCAAGGCTGCCAGGTGAAGCTCCTCATAGTAGTTTGAATTATTACTTTTGTGCTTATTGAAAAGGAATAAACTAAAATTGCTTTGTTTCCATTTCACATCTTATTAGGTACCGTGTGAAGCTTGAGGTGCAAAGCGAGTCTAACTCAACAACCTTTATCGTCTTTGACTATGAAGCGCACCAATTCTTTGGAATCAGTGCTCATGAACTTTTCGACAAGACTGGACAAAACAGTACTTCACCTTCTGAAAAACTCCTCGAGATAGTGGGTACCACAAAGGAATTCCACGTCAAATTCAAGTTCAACCCGTACGAAGACGGGCAAGCTGATTTCACTGTGCTCAGAATATTGGATGACACTGCACAGGTTAGTTGACTCATCACTCCAAGTATACATGTTCAAACTTGAATATTGGTTGACTTTGAGAATCTTATTCATGCATGCTATGTAATTGGGGTTCTGTACTTTAATTCCTGTATACTCAATGAATTCAAACACTTATGCTATTGATTCAAACATTTTGGGTCGGTCGAGGTGTTTAATTGGATTAGATTTCACATCACAACTTGCTTCTAATTGGATGTGTTGCCCAGGAGAAAGATTTGCCCCTGCACAAGGATGGATCCTCTTCATCTATTACCACTGGTAGCGAGTCATCCCAACCTTCACCTTATGCAAACCAAATTGCCAACCTTGAAGAGTCTGATGGATCAGTCAAAGGTCCTGAAACTTCTAGAAACAAGCTGAAGAGAAAGATGCCATTGGAGTGATCTGCTATGTCCTGAGCTTCCATTGAGTTTCCAGCTTTATTATCTACATTTGTCCTATATTATGTTTTTCCAGACTATTGGTTTGTTCCCAAAGAATTATGATCTCCAAATTGATGGGTTGTGAAATTTTATGGTCCACTGAAATTCCCAGAACAGGTCTGACATTTCACATGAAACATTGTTGTTTTGAGGTTTAAGTTTGTAAAGCCCACACCAGCTAAAATTTCGTCGAAGTAGGTGTGTTTTCCTGTTTTTACACTACAGAGGCGAATGACAGCAAGCTGAATCATGTTTCTCATTTCTCAATCCCCTACGCTTTGAATCATTGGTGTATACAGAATCAAATTACTGATCTCATGTGAAGCATATGAACAACCTTAGTGATATATTGTTGTCAAAGTGGACAGGGTGTGCGTTGTGATGATGTTACAGCCACCATTCTTTCTTTCTTTAGTCTCTGCGTTTCCTTCTCAAAGCCTACAGTGGGGAATTGCTTTGCTTACTCCTCAACATCATGATGAAGCTTTGCAATCTCAGATTGTTGTGCGTCTGACTTTAGAGCTGCGGTGAAGTCCTTCAACTTGGGTCGTGAAATCAAATCCCCAAATCACATCAGTCCAACATACATCTAAGAGATATATGGCAGAGGCTAAAGGAAGAAATGAGCCACCATTAGAATCAACTTTGATCTTCAATGCTAACTTGACAGCTGCATCGAAGAACTCAGCTACTTTCTCAAAGTCTTCCTCAATGAACCCCCTGGATGTGAGAGCCGGTGTCCTTGAGAAAAACAAACCAATGAAGAGTAGTTCTACAAACTGTCTTTCAAGTGATGGAAGGTTGCGGTAGTCTGTTAGGGAAGGGAGGACACAAAAGTCTTACCCATGTGAATACCACCAGGAGAGTCAAAGATAACAAATATAGTGAATTGTAACATACAATTAAGGACTAATTAAGCAAATTTTGACTAATTAAGCAATTTTGAGCAATTTTGACTAATTAAGGACTACTCAAGTAACAAGTGTAACAGACAAGGACCTGGACAGAATAATTCCCCTCTTAAAACAATTAAAAAAACACAAACAGGGGCCTTTGCCTTTCCATTAGAAAAGAAAAGGGACACCTAGAGTCGGGGATTTTCAATTCCCGCCCACCCAATGGTCTTCCTTCTGAGGGTGTTCAAATATTGGTACTATACTTTCAATGTGTGAAGTTGTAGTGATGATGTATCGGTATTACATTAAGCCCATTGGATCCCATTGTATGCTAGCGAGACTAAGAACCTGTCGTTGATCAATGGGCTTTCTTTCCTTGGGTGGGCCTTCATTTCCACAGAAGCCCAGTTACACTTTAAGAATACAGTATATCCGTGCCTGTCTTACCCTAGATTAGCAAAGCATCGCACTCAACAGCCAGATGATCAGGTAAAAAAACCAAATAAATAAAACACTCACAAATAATTATTTAAATTGACATTACAACACAATCCTATCTTGCAAGGCGCCACCATTACCCAGTAAATGATCAACACCAACATGAATTGGGGACCTCACAGGGACCTACTGTTTCTTGGATCGACATTCATGTTAGAACACAATGAACATAACCAAATTAGGAGACGACTTATACCGTTACGTTATAAGCAAAATACATAAATTTAGGAGCACGAGATAATAACCGCAATCCACACAAAAGAAATTCCCATATGAACACTGAGGCTACTAAGCCTTTTCCATTTAAAGATATAAAAATCAAACTCACGAAATAGGATCATGGGTTACTGGTGGAATGTAGATATTCTGAAACTACTTTCTCTGGCCAACATGGCCTGCCACTTTTCTATTAAAATATATTATAAACACAAATAATAAGTCCCTAACTGCCATGATTACCACGTTCTTCCACTATGCCACCCATTCTCAAGCTTAAACGAACTTTCTTTCCTGCAAGTATATATAAGGAATACTTCCAGCCTGTGAAAAGGTTTGCTGCCATCCAAAATACTTACTCTTTTCCATCGTGCGGTATCAGTGATGGCTCTCCGCAATTTATCCCAATTGAACGTACATGATGATGACCAGGCTGTTCGCGTCAGGCTCCTGCGTTTATGGCATACAATGAGGTCTGTTGGTGTAACACTTGACCAAATCCACATGTTGTTTCTCGACAACCGGGTACTTTGATTTTCTAAGCCTTCTATTCTTTACATGAGTGGGAAGTACATTATTCAATACTAAAAATACTGAATGATTTTTTACTGTGACTTTTAGGGAACAGAGATGCAGGCCTTAGTTGATATTCTCAATGTTCAGTTGTTTGCTCCTGTTCTTCACGTGGGAAAGATTTATTTCTTGAGCAACTTTTTGGTCCAAGAATATGATGATACTTATAGAGTTTCCCCTGCAACTATCCGAATCCGCTTTCATAATGACACAGTGATTGAGGAACTCCAGAATGCACCCGACATACCAATATACAGCTTTCGGTTTTTGGCTGCTCATGATCTTCCCTTTGCTGTCCATAACCATGAATATTTGTCTGGTATTTCTAATTCCAATGAAATCTTTATTTGGCCAGTTTGGTTTTCATATTGTGTTCCTAACGATATGTTTGGGATCAGATTTAATTGGAGAGGTCGAAACTGTTGCACAAGAAGAGGTCATGTTCGAAGATGCTGCTATTTTAAGGCGAAAGGGAGTGCAACTTAAATTGATTGAGTTAGTTGGTTACTTTTTTGTACAGACTACATTTGAAGTGTGCTTACCGTATGCAGACCATTCATGCTTCTCTTTTTTTAAAAAAAAATAAGGGGACCTATAGTTGATGTCGTCTTATGGGATGATCTAATTGACGAATTTCAAGCTGTGACGACTAATGATCCATTACCATGATCAGTAGTTGTCTTCACTTCCGTTGTTGTCCGCCACTTTGAAGGTATCTTACATGCTTTTCATTCTAAGTTTCCATGTTGTTCTTTTAGTTCATATTAGTACTTATTGACTTTCTAGATGTTATGGTTTTAGGGGAAGAATATTGTGTGGGCTCAAATGCAACGAAAGTATACTGCAACTTGCACTATCCTCACGTTCACCCCCTGCTTCATAAGTAAGTGTTTAACCTTTATTCAATAGAATCAGTTCTTTTAGTATTCTTTCTCTCATGTTTTGAAATTATTTTTTCTTGATTTATAGTATAGAAAATGTCCCGCTGGCCATGGACTACACGTTGGAGGACGCTATATGGTTAAGTGACATATGTTCCATTTCGAAACTGAATCTATACAAGACTGACTTCAACAACCAGGCAGTTTATTTGTACACTCAGTCAAATTTCCTAAAAAAAATTCCAAAGTCCTATTTTGCTCCCATTCAATATCATAATGGTTGGCCTGGACAACATGGTTGGATTTCAGTGTGTCTCTAATGCTCTAACTTGACCAATGAAAAATCAAGTTTCATCTTACCATTCCTAAATGTAAACTTTAATGTGGTTCATATTACAGGGGAATTTGTACCTTACTACTGCAACAGTCAAGGATGTGACTGTATTTTGGTCAAGTGTGCATCTCAAGTTTATGGTGAGGCTGACTGTTGCTACTGGACCTCATGAGGCTTCTATCATTTTTACGACTACCAAGTTCCGTTGGATAGCAAGCCGTATCATTGAGGCCACAGACAAAGAATGGACCAATGACTTCAGGAATCTCCTAGCTGCTCTCAGGGGTAATTTATTGAAGCTTATGATTGAATTCGGTGATTTCAATGCCCATGCCAATGAGTTTGATTTGGTTCTTCGCAAATTATTCTGGTAGAGGGTGTGAAGTACTTGAGCAGTGCTTTATTTCAAAGATTATTTCTTCAGATTTGTTCCAATTATGGATGTTGAACTCTTTGCCCGCATAGATTATTAATTAGCTGCTCCATCTACCTCCTATGGTTTTTAGCTAATTGAAGTATTGATCATGTTTCAAGATACTTGGTTAGTGAATTTAATCTTTCTACTTATATCCAGGAATGTTTCTGCTACTATTATTCTACACCTCACCTTTTTCTTTATCATTCAAAAACACTACCCAATTAAACGAAAGGAGTGTGAAACTTACCTGGCACAATTCCAGCTTTTCTCCTGCTGCAAAGGGTATTTCTTAGGCTACTTTCGGATCCTCTCACAACAAATATATGTGTAGGTGTCCAAACATTAACTTTCACTTTCCATACTCCATCTGACCTTTCATTGCCAACCTTCAGGAGATCCTTTCCATGAAGTAGAAAACAATCTGAAACTCATCTTCTGCAGCCTTGGTAGACCTGAACCTCTTATGCATGCATCCTCCCCTGGAAAGAAATCAATGCATATTTGTATTTAATAATTTCTTCTAGGAATTCTACATATAATCGTTGAACCTCTTCTCACAAGGGAGATATATTTTTATCTTTTCTTGGAACAAAGAAAGGATTGAAAGCTTGCTTCTCTAGGGAAGATGAAAGCAAAACTCCTACTGCTAAGACCTCCTGATGAGAGGCTTAGATTAAAAGCAATGATTTTTCTCATAGACCACAAAGCATAATGAAATCTTGGTACAAGAATGAAATTGCAGCTATTGTAATAAGGCTAAAACGGCCCACCTATAAAATGTTAACTCATAATGAGAAACAAATGATGCACAAGGTATTTACTATGATGAATCCACTGGATTTGTGCTGGGGATCTGCGAGTTCCGAAGAGGTAAAATACTGGGTTCAGTTTGCGAGCAACAACATCTGGCGGGGAGTAGCAAAGGTGAGATCTCCAATCCTGAACCTACGGTGCCGCCCTCGCTGTCTCGACCAATCATTGGTTGTGTGCTGCAGCTGTTGCATCGACCTCGAAATTGAATTTGCATCATCGCTCGAATGGCGATTTCCGAACGTATTAACCATCAAACTCATTCGCAGATGAGATCTCTCTAACATAGATGTAACCTAGAACCAGGTCGAATGAGATTGGGCATGGTGAAGGAATTGAGATCGACAAAATCATAGTGAAGGAATTGAGATCGGTCGAACCCACTAACACCATAGTTATGTTGTCATTCCAGTATAACGGTCGACCTGCCACATAAACAAATAAGGCTCAATAGTCCTCGCTCGTTGTAACCCACCACTTTGTTGGAGAAACATTCATCATCTTCGCAAATGAAGGGATTTTTTTAAGAGACGAAGAAGTCATGTTTCATGAGGGGAAGGTGAGCAAACAAAAGGGATGAAAAGTTTAATTTTCTCTGTTTTTGGATTTACTCGGATTTTTGTTGTTGCACTCTCATCTCTAACTAGAACAACCCCACCCATCGAAAGCCAATCGACCTGGATTTCTGGCGAGGAAGGCAAAGATGGGATGGTGCGGCATAGCCGGAAGAAGGCACTCAAAGCAAGAGACACTCCTTTGGCTAGTACTTTACGGCGTCGCCAGTTGGGTTTCAGGTCATTCTATTTCCAACCATAACCTAAACGATAAGAGAGGTTGATATTTTCTCCAAATCCCTTATACAAACTATCTGGATTTTTTACTTAGAGATTTGGGCTTAAATCTCTCATAAGTTTCTCATCCAAATTAACCCATTAGGTTTTTAGGTGATGTTTCATTCTCTTCTCTTATTTTCTTGTTGAGGTAGAGATTAAGTGTATCCAAATTCATAATAGGTAAGAATGACAATGGGGCGGATCTCTCGCTCCGTGGCAGGTTGGGTAATTTATCATGGGATGAGGGTCGGGGCAGGTCAACTAGGGGTGGGCATACAATTCGGTAAAATCAAACCAAACCTAACCAAACTCAAATACAACCGAACCGAAATCGAATTATTGTTATTCGGATTGAAATTCCGAATACAGGGTTTGCACACCCGAACCCGAATTCCGACAAACCGAAATACCTCAACCTTGTCCCTCATCGGCCATCCAGCTCCAATGACCTCCTTGGCGGCATCCAACAACATCCATCGTCACTGGTCTGCCGCTACTCTGGAGAGGGTGAAGATTCAGAAAAGGTGAATCTGATGGGTTCCTCGGCAGTCTTCAACAGATTTGTCGCTACTCGTCCAATATTCTTGTCATAGCCTCTTCCTCTACTAGTGTCTGAGTTGTACTTTGGCGTGAGTGAGGATCCAAAAATATGGATTTCATAAGTTGGTAGTTTTGTCTAGAAGTGCTAATCATGATCTTAATTTGGGTTTTCCTCGATCCACCATCTAATAATGAGTTAGGGTCTGTTACTAACTATTATAATGAATGATGGGTGCAAAGGTGACTAATATCAAGGCACTCATAATAGAGGAACCACATCCTCCGCCAAACTCAAATGAAAAGAGAATTATTTTTCCTCTTTTCTAACCCGTAAGTGTCAGAACCCACTGAAACAAGAGAAAGAAATAAATTCCCTTGTCTGTTTTATCACCTTAGAAAAAGCCCCACTCTCATCCATCTCAAGGCCCTCACACGTAGCCTGTTGCGGTTACTTAAACCGTGTTAGTATTGGGCCTTGTTGGGCCTCGTCTGATTCGTTGGATTAGGGTTTTAACCCTAAGTTTATCTATATAAGCTTAGCTATCGACTTGTGTGATAGTAAGCCGTCAAGATGTAATCCTAATAAGAGATCAGCCGTGAGCTCTTATGAGCTCACCGTGGATTAGTCTCGATCAATCGATCGAGGATACCACGTAAAATATTGTGTTCTGTGTTTGTTTCAATTCCGCTTCATCAATTTCTACATAGTATCAGAGCAAAACTCGATCCTTGATTAAGGTTTTGCACTTCCGTCTGTCAGCGTCCTCGGTCTCGTCAACATAAACGATCAAGGTTGTCCGTGCGGCGTTCTCGTTCCGGGCCGACCGCGTCTCCATCTCCAGTCCAGGCTCATCGCAGCTTGTAGCTACCTTTCACATGTCGCCTCGTTCAGCTGTCACGCTAGTCCGCGATCGCCGCTGCTCAAGGCTCCTGCCGCATCCTTCACCGGCCCCATCTTCAGTTCCAAAGTCGATAGCTTATCTAGGGTTTTGAGCTTCCGCAGTCGGTCTCCATTGTTTCTCCCGTAATCATCAATCGTCAATTGCCGCGTTGCCAAGGCGAAGTCTCGATCCACAACCAGTTTAGCTCGTAGTCCCGCCGACCAAGACCAAGTCTAGTCTGCCGTAGGTTATCAATCGCCAATCAAGGTCAGACGAAGAAGAAACAGCCAAAGTGTCGGTCCACCTTCGTGCAACGCCGGTTCTCCAGCCCAACAGCAAGTCCGGCTGCCCCCGACGTCGCTAACCCGCCGTCTCGTCACCGGTCGTCATCGTCATCTACCGCCATCGCCCATCAGCGTCTGCGGACTCCTCACAGCCGCCGCCCATGTCAGCGACCGCGGCGTCTTCGTCGTTGAAAGCCCTCACCTGTAGCTGCTCCAACTTCATCGACGGCTCGTCACAAGCCGACCCTTTGCTCCCAGTCGCAGTCATCGTCACAATCGGGAGAGAGAGATTTGGCCCCACTCGCAGAGAGAATGTCGCCGATCTCGTGATTCTCATTCCGCTACCGGTAATGAGGCTGCAATGTCTTGAAGCTTGTTCGGTCGTCCAAGTCAGTTCCACCCAGCTTTCATGTTTCCGAAGACCCTGCTGGTTCCTATGTTTGTCGAGATGCATTGTCATTGTTGCGGCCCGGTCGTCTTCATCAAGCACTCACGGCCATCACATTGAAGAACTTTAACACCACGTTAGAATATTTGGCAGTTTTGGCTTCACGATGGAATAATTAAAGCTTGGTTGTGGATCAAATTGACAAAAGGAATGTCATGTCCACTTCATCTTTGTCATGATCAGCTTAGTCCACCTAGAAAGAGTGTTGGGGGTGATAAAGGTGGGGGCACTAGGGAAAATTGCCGAAACCAAAAGGATTTCACCATCAACTATAGTCAAGTATCGATCGAGACATTCACGGTCCATAAAATGATCGTCCCCTGGCATTCAAAAGGTAGTACGATCAGAGAAGTCATCGTCCCTTCATCGTCCAGCTGGCATTCACGATCTAAGAAATGGTCGTCCCCTCTTCCAGTTCAGTAGTGGGCACATTTCAACCATTCATCGCTTTTCAAGCCGGGCATTCACAATGTTCATGCTCCAGCTTGAGGGGGAGAATAGGAGGTCAACATATGTCGGTCGACTACCTCAGTCATCAGGTCGACCGCGATGTACCAGGTGTGTTCAAGTTCAAGAGACGCAGTCAATTGTCTCCATCATCAGGTTGTTCAGAGAGAGTCAGTCGTCTCCAATCAACCTCGTCCGAGATGTTATTCATCTCGAGTTTTGTGGTTCAAGCCATCATGCTTGTTCTTCACATTTACTTCTTCAAGCTCGACATTCTTGTCATTCATGTCTTCGCTTGAGGGGGAGTGTTGCGGTTACTTAAACCGTGTTAGTATTGGGCCTTGTTGGGCCTCGTCTGATTCGTTGGATTAGGGTTTTAACCCTAAGTTTATCTATATAAGCTTAGCTATCGACTTGTGTGATAGTAAGCCGTCAAGATGTAATCCTAATAAGAGATCAGCCGTGAGCTCTTATGAGCTCACCGTGGATTAGTCTCGATCAATCAATCGATCGAGGATACCACATAAAATATTGTGTTCTGTGTTTGTTTCAATTCCGCTTCATCAATTTCTACATAGCCTAGCAATTTAATGAGGAAGGAATGAAGTAGTCTTAGAGATAAAGAAGGTGGTGGTTGCGGTAGGAAATAGAGAAGCCATTTGACCTTTGAAACTCCGCCGAACGGGAGAGAATAGGAAGCTGGAGCTCTTCATACCATCACCCTAAACCCTAAATCCTTGTACCACCATCACCACTTCAATTAGTAAAGCTTCTTAGTGTCCATATTTTTGGGTTCTTTTGTTAGTAAAAGTCAGAGGGAAATGGCTAAGAGGGAGGTGCGATTAGTGTGAAAGTGATGGTGGAGATTGATACTTCTACATGCATATGTATATTACCTAACTTGCATGCATATATGTATAGATTCGTCTTGTATGGGAATGATGATGGTGATAATTATGTATTGGAGGGTTAGGTCCAGGATCAAGCTAGTGGTTTGTATATATATACATAATTGTTTTTGTATGGTATAATAATGGAAAGGTATGATTTGGGTAGTTAGGAAAATGATTAATTAATAGACTTCCTGGACACATTACATATTAAGTATAAAATGGTTTATGGAATGGTACAGATCCAAGTGAGCTCTCTCTAACCTTGCATGCATGCCATATCCCCATTTTATCAAGGTTTGTGCGTGTATGGATTTGAGGGGAAGGTTAAATGCATGATGGGGATTATATATATGAGTATTAGTGCTCTCGTAATGAGAGGGGTCAAGGAGAGAGTTGAACAAGTAAATTATAATGGCGTGAAATGCTTATGAGCATGTAATGTATAATTAGCATACACACGTTTAAAAATGGATAGTTACAGGATACTATTGTTTTAATTATATGATTAATAATTAATTGTGGTATTAAATGGGGTTATGTAACTTCTTAAAGGGAAGGAGAAAGCTGGGGAATCATCAAAAGGTATGGGAATAGCCGAGTAACGCAAATCTGTGAGTAAATTCTAACCTATTAGCTGTATGGATACAAATATGGTATTCGGGTCATGAAGCGACCCGAATATAATAAAGATGAAATGTGGGATTAATAGATGGCTATGACTATATGTGTGTGAATGAAATGATATGTGATTAATGATGGGTGAATGTGATGTGTGTATGACTATGTGCTGATACGTGGGAAACGTGGTAGATGATTATTATGGATGGGAAATGAAATGTATATGTGATACGAAATGGCCTAAAAGGCAACTTTACAGTACTGAAAAGACTATGACGCAATGGGAAATAATGCATGGCCTTAATGGCTATACGATGATACGGGGATAGCATAATTGGCTATCGTGTGATTACTAGAAAGCCTGTAAGGCAGAATTGTGATACTGGGAAGCCTATAAGGTGACGATGTGATTATATGAAATGGTGAATGTGCCCATGTGAATGTTATGAATTTGTGAATAGACATGTGTCAAATGATTGATGATACTGTTTGCTACATTTTATGTGACTAACTAAAGAATTGTATGATCACCTAAATCAAACTTAATGGCGCCCTGTCATGCACTCTATGAGATATGATAATGTGGCTTTATGCCTAGCTCTCCGGGAGAGCAATACCAGGCCTGGTCATTGGCAATGCTTAATGCATCTATTGGCGGTGCTTTATGCATCTATTGGCGGTGCCTAAGGCATCTATTGGGCGGTGCTTTATGCATCTATTGGCGATGCTTTATGCATCTACTGGATAAACCCAGGGGAGTGCATGACTTGGCAATTTAAAGGCTAAAACGCACGTAATTTGGCTAACCCTATGTGTGTGTATGAATGGGTGTACTAGTGTGTGTGTGTGTGTGTGATTGACTATTGAATTGTGTATGGTTACATGTATGGTATACCTTGGCAATGTGAATACTGCAATTGGTTATCTCGGGAAACTAAGAGATTAAGCATAGGGTTTGACTTCACCAAATATAATATTTGCATTGACACTGTTGTTAGGTTAGTTTTTACTCATTGAGGTGACGTCTCACCCCCCGTCAAAAATTTTCCCCAGATTAGAAGTTTTGGACTAGAAGTCAATGAAACTCAGCAAGGCTCAGCTCGACATCAATGAGGTGGGATGATGGACTCAAACTCCGACATGACTTGTTTATAGTATTTTGAGAGAAGTTGATCTTCTCTACTGTCATGTGTTTAGAAGTTTTAAATGTTTATGTAAATTGTGGTTTGGTTTGTAAGCTAAACAAAATTGTAAAATGTTTTAATTGATGTGAATGTTTTAAAATATGTATGTGTGTTACAATTCTCCTCTGGTGGAGTATCTAGGGAGGGTGGATATTACGGAGAAGGCAAATATGATGACTTCCTCCGCGTCCAAATCAGATCTGAATCATCCCTCCTCAACTTCTCCTGCTCCTTCCAACGAAACCCAGCCTCCTCGAGTCCACCTGCTCCTCCCGACGAAACCTAGAGACTCCACCTATTGTCTTTATGGACTGGCGCACTCCAACAGCGAGCAGGCGCGCAGTAGTGGCGACATCAATGTCAGCAAAGAAGAAAGAAGAAGAAAAGGGGATAGCTTGAGCCTTGGGAGAGGAAAGTGGAAACCTAGGGGTTCCACCTCTCCTATCTCTCAGCATCACCAAATTGAGGCAGCTTGGGCCGGCCAAAATGCAGCAAGCTAGGCCAACAGTGGCACTATCCAACATGTCAGTTTTGGTTAGAAATCCGAACCGAGTTATAATTCGATTCAGCCGCACTAAACCAAATTATAATTCGATTCGAATTTGATCAGCCACATGACAGGATTCGGAACCCTGGTAGTCCTCAATTTGATTCGGTTTGAACCGAACCGACCAAATGCCCACCCCTAAGATTGACACATACGGATATGTAATTTAAAGAAAGAACATTAAAATCATTAAATTTTTTCGCCACAAATCAAAGAAATAAACTATTGCATGACAAATGTAGTTAAATTTTTTGAGAAATTTATATTCTCGCTTTTATAACTTTACTATAGCTAAAATGCGAGGTAATAAAAGTATAATCCTAATAATTTTCTGTAAAATTACATATAATTTAACCAAAAGGGTCGAAAATGGGATTGATCAGAGCATGTAAGATCGAGAAGAGTATCCATGTTCGCAAAGTAGTTAAAATCGGGATTTTACCTAAAATCGAAATCGTAAAATCGAATCGTAGAATCGTAAGATTTTAAGTACCATATAGAAATTAACATATAATAATATTAATAAGGTAAATCTTAATAATACAAAGACTTATAACATTTAAAGTGATAATTTTCAAGATTAATGTTCCAAAATCATCATTTTAATTGTTATTTAATGTGTAACTCAAAATAATTTATGAGGAAGGGATAGAGCTCATGGGGTTTGGCTCTTGTTTTTCATGTTGTGTCTAGGTAGTTTAATTGAAAGTAGTATTCCGACATCGTCTACTAAGAATGATTTAAAACTAAGAATAACTGAAATCCAATAAAATATTCAATGTCATTGGTTTGGTACGAATATATTCATTAATTAAATAATTTGTTAATAATGATGTTAATTCTTACGCACTTACAATATTTTGACAATTGTTTTACCGATGAGTTAAACAAGGAGAAGGGAAAGGGTTTGACCGAACCCTAATTAGTTTTTCTTCGTCTTTTCAAATGTTCTTTTAATAGGAAAAATATATGAGAAGATCCCCGTCATTGCCCTTTCCACCGAAACAATTCTGCTTCTTTTGAATTTCTCAAGCTCCCTATTTAGTTCACATAGGATCAAAATCCCGATTTTGATACGATTCAACGATTTTAACGATTTTAATCCCGATTTGAACGATTATAAGGTCCACCGATTTTATAGTAAAATCAGGATCGGAATCTCTAAGTAAAATCCTACGATTTTACGATCAAAATCTCTATTTTTACTGCATTGCATGTTCGTCCTGCCTCTCCTACATATCAAGATAAAATAAGTCAGTTCAAAATTAGCATCTCTAAAAATATGTGTGAATGCATTGGATTTCATACCATTTGATTTTATATATTAGAATGTGAGGAATTCTCATTCAAAGCTCTTTGTTTACTTGTGTTTACTTAGAAGTATTTATAATTGGAACTTTTAATTACTTAGCTAGATAGTAACGTAGCTCGCAGTAACAATGTACTTATGGATCCTATGGAATAAAATCTTGGTTGTCACGATACTATTGTGCTTGACTAGGGTATTTTTCTTACTAAAAATATTGCCTAAGTTCGAATAGTAGAGTAGTACGGACGATCTACCGGGGCAATCGCTTTAGTCGACATAAGCACAACCAGCCCTAGCAGCTGAAAGGGTAATATGTGAGCCCAAAGGTTTATTTTATGTTCGATTGAAGAGAAAGCTGATGCTTATCCAATCAGTCCAAGCATAGATAGATCCTAGTGCAAATGTCATATCCTTCTTTTGATGGTGAATGGCGGAAATGCTGTTGAAAGATGAATCCTCTGCGTACATCCAATTATTCCTTCGCGGCCTTATAAAGCTCCCTAAGCTTCGTTTCCCTCACCCCTTCCCTCGTTACTTGGCTTTGTACCGGAAGCGAAGCTTAAAAGACGAGTCACTTCTCTCCTTCTCCACTCTCTCTGGCGGAGAAAGCTCGAAGCGCTTAAAATACTAGTCCTAGTTAAGTAGAGCTGGTTGTAGGTCCAACCAAGCACACTTGCTAATTAATTGCTTGACTAGGGTACACTTATTAACCTTGAAGCTTAGTGAAACCTAAACCACGAAACTAATATTGAAGCACTATATGCATGTCTTGAATAGATCAACTTGAGAGATCCTTGAGAATACAACTCCAGGGAGCCTAATTCACTCGATATCTTTGATTATTATTTTAGGCATATCATATTTTAAGGACAAACCTAAAGTCATTAAATCTGCTAGCAGAGTGAAATACATACTTGTAATAAATAACTTGATACTTTTTTTCATGACTTACAAATATAGCATAATCGAATTTCTTATCTGATGACATCCGATAAAGTAAACTACTAATATCTAAAATTATAATTTGTTTCTATTGATGGCCTTCTTTTTATCCCTTTAAATTAACCCGACTTGTCATAAATAACGTTTTTTCGACGAGTTTCAACAGATGCAATATAACATTATCAGTCAACATGTTGCCAAATGCTACATTGATTTTGATAGAGATAACTTATCATTACTATTGAAAACCCTAGATCGTATTTATTGCTAGGTTCCACATTGAAAACCCTAAATCGTGTCGAAGTCAACATCAACATCAACATACCTTATTAGCAAATTGAAAACCCTAAACTGTGTCGAAGTCAACATCAACATACCTAATCAACGAATCACAATCCATCCTGATCGGCTTTCATACCCCAGACATTGGAACTTGGTATGATACACACATCATCCTTTCACTTTCAGCAGACCAAAATCAATGAGCAAATAACCTCCAAGTATTGAAATGTATATTCGATAATGCAATGTTCTACTATTGTGAAAGAATACCACTGTAAGATATTGTGTTTTTATACTTTACAAAATTCATATATGTAGTCATATCTGTTAGGGAAGGGCATCCAACAATTTTTGTTCCTAGTTTTTTTGTACACTATAGGAAAGTTATCATCTTTGGTAAAATCATTAATAATTCAATATTAATTTTCACAGAAAATCTACATATTAAAGTGTCTTGTTAAATAATTTACCATTTTAGCAAAAAATGAAATTATTTTCCAATTATCATATGCAATTGAAAGTATATTCATTGTATTTCCATAAAGATTCAAGGAATTCAATATCACCCTTCAATCATTTTCCTATAAAGCCCTTTTCACTAGGTTTGTCTTTGCACCACCAAAACAAAATCGGCACAAGAAAACAACATTGAGTTCAAACTCCTCGCAAATATATTTACTTAAGGGTTCGAGAGTCCCTTTGCACTTATTTTTTTTATAAAAAAACTACATTGAGAGAACAATGGGAAGAGGAAAAGTGAACTTCACCTTGATCGAGAATGAAGCTATGAGGAGAGCATCCATGACGAGAAGACGCCAAGCGCTCATAAAAAAAGTCAGTGAGCTCACAATTCTATGTGGGATATCTGGCATGTGTATGGTTTACCATCCAGAGGAGCCACAACAACCAGTAGTCTGGCCCAACCCACGACGGCGTTCGAGAGCAACTGAGTCGCTACTTCTCCATTCCAGAGGTGGAGCGAAGCAAAAAGACGATGACACAGGAGACATTTCTCATGGAATGGATCACGAAAGAAATGGCGGTTCAGGTGAAATTGACGAAAAAGGTTGACGATCTCGTGGAAGCGGTCTTGATGGATGAGGTCTTTTATGGGAGGGGATTGGATGGACTTCACTCAAACGAGCTCGACAAGTTGGAATCGCTGTTGAAGGAGAAGGTTGTGGAGCTGGAGAAGAAGAGGGAGTCCTATGAGGGTGGCCCTATTGTCCATCCACAACAACAAACCCAAGGTAAAAGAAAAAAAATTAATATTGTTAATAACGATCCTCAAAATTTGGATACGCATTTTACGGTGGAATGAGTTAGGTACCAATTGGTCTCGGTAACTGATTTTTTTAAAAAAGACCTAAATATAACCTCCAATGTTGCCGACCCGCTGACCCTGACCTAGTGAGAAAAACGGGCCACACACCCACCTGGGCGCGACCCACTACAAGGTTATAGGCCTGAAGGTCACACGGTGTTGTTTTTTCCTCCTGGTTTATAAAATGGGTCTATTTTCTGGTTTTCCCTCTTCACCCCAAACTCTTGTCTTTAGAATTCTTAGTTGAATATTGATTTTTATATAAATGTGTGAATTTTCATTTTAATGTTATATGTTAGATGAGATTTAACATAATTTTTAAATGTATAAACATATAATGACATTTTTTCAAATATCTAGGCTAAAACAGCCGGATCATTAACCCTCAATTTACTATATCGACTAGGCCAACCGGCTAAACTGGGTTGACAACCTTGCATTACTCTATATAATGATTCTAATAACCCTATAATTGAAGGCTTTGTTACAGGGGATGGTGATGAATTTGGATTGTCCCAACACCAGCAAACCCTTAACATCGATGGTGGGTCAAGGCTTGGTTACAGAAACCATGCCCAATTTAGTCTCCAGACAGGGAACCAATTACCGTTGGTTGTGCACCCAATCACTTCAGCTTACGATTTCCTTAATATGCAACAGATGGTATTCATGAACACTTTCATCGACAGTAGTTATAATATGGGCCAAGGTAGTGAGAACTACGCACTCGAGGATGAAAACATACGCACTCTGATGGCTGAAGGGAACTTGGTCCCGTCCATGAACCACACTGTGTTTCAAGGGGGAAGAAACAATTTCAATCTACCTCCGTTGACTCAGTCTCCCACCATCCATTATCATCAACAAGGCTCTAGACTAAATCCAGAGCCTGTGGTGGTAGATGGAGGAATCGATAATGATCGGATTGGTTACGAAGGTGACCAATTCGTGGAAAGTGTTTTTGAGCAAGGAAGTAGTAGCGCGAACCCGAGGCGGCTAGCACAGGACCAACTGCACCAAATACTGCAACCACAACTACAACAACGACAGATCGAGACATATGATAACATGGGAAACCGTGTGTGGCCACCACAAGCCAATAGATTCTGTTCTATGGAATAGCTCGGATTTGCTTATGAAGGATATGTCTAGCAAGTATGCACTGAATTTGTTATTATAATTCATCTATAAGTCTTGTGTCCTATATAGGATATAGTAAACATAGTCTTATGTTTGTATTTGTGGAGTTTGTTTTGATTGTCAATTACTGGTTCGAGCTTTAAACATCCATTTTGTTTTTAAGTTTCAATTTACCTTGTTTATGGTAGTTTCAATTGACCATTGTTGTACTTTCATTTTCGTGAAACGAGAAGAAATAAAACATA